TAAACAAAATTCGTCTAAAAACAATTTCTGAAAATATTTTGATGAAAGTTTCGCGACGCTGAAGCCAATAAGTTGGAGATGTGTTTTACATTTTGAAGTAATTTTTAAATAATTCGAATATTTTTCGCTTCCCAGCCCCTTATGCTGAGCAATTTAAGGGTTAATTCATACTTGTGACAACACAGAAAACGTGTGATCACGTATGTTTACCTGGTTGATACCTGGTTGATGGGGTTCTGGGAGTTCTTCTACTCCCCAAGCCCGGCCCGAGGCCAGGCTTGACTTGTGAGAGTTTGGTCCACCAGGCTGTTGCTTGGAGCGGCCCGCAGGCCCACATGCCCACCACAGCCCGGTTGGTCCGGCACTCCATGGAGGAATAAATCTAGTTTCCTCTTGAAAATGTCCACGGTTGTTCCGGCAATATTTCTTATGCTTGCTGGGAGGACGTTGAACAACCGCGGACCTTTGATGTTTATACAGTGTTCTCTGATTGTGCCTATGGCACAATCAGATTGTGCCTATGGCACAATGTGATGAGGCCTTGCACGGCATGGTCATATGGGTGGCCTATCATCACAGCCTCGTGTGCTGCTCTATATTACACCAAAAATGGTCTTTTGAGCCAGTGAAACAAAATAAATGATGGAGAGAACCTCTCCCACAAGGAAAGGGTCAAAATACAGGAGATAAAAGGGCGGGAGGCAAAAATGGGAAGGAGTGAATGAGGGAAGGGTAGTGGTGAGACAGAAGATGAAAGAGAAAGGGGAAACAAGGGAGGTAAGGATGGAGGAAAAAGATTGGACAAGGGAGGAAGGGTGGTAATTGGGAAGGAGGGAACAAGGGAGGGGGGAAAAGGGTATACATGAGGGCAGAAACACTCCTGTGTGTTGCAGGAGTGCACACACAACAGGAGAGAGAGAGAGAGACCATTAGCACACAGGTTTTGTCAAACCTCAAGGCTCTCACTACTCTGCTTCTCAACACACTAAATGGTATTCTCAACTTTGAAATGCAGCATCGTGACCTGTTACCGAACGTAAATTCATTTGTTACAGGAGCATTCCATGTCATGGTTCTGTCAATTTCATGTCTTGTAGGAGCATACTGTCATAGTACTGTCCCTTTTGTGTAGGAGCATACTGTCACTTTTGTGTAGGAGCATACTGTCATAGTACTGTTCCTTTTGTGTAGGAGCATACTGTCATAGTACTGTCCCTTTTGTGTAGGAGCATACTGTCATAGTACTGTCCCTTTTGTGTAGGAGCATACTGTCATAGTACTGTCCCTTTTGTGTAGGAGCATACTGTCATAGTACTGTCCCTTTTGTGTAGGAGCATACTGTCATAGTACTGTCACTCGTGTGTTGTAGGAGCATACTGTCATAGTACTGTCCCTTTTGTGTAGGAGCATACTGTCATAGTACTGTCACTCGTGTGTTGTAGGAGCATACTGTCATAGTACTGTCCCTTTTGTGTAGGAGCATACTGTCATAGTACTGTCACTTTTGTGTTGTAGGAGCATACTGTCATAGTACTGTCACTTTTGTGTTGTAGGAGCATACTGTCATAGTACTGTCCCTTTTGTGTAGGAGCATACTGTCATAGTACTGTCACTTTTGTCTTGTAGGAGCATACTGTCATAGTACTGTCCCTTTTGTGTAGGAGCATACTGTCATAGTACTGTCACTTTTGTGTAGGAGCATACTGTCACTTTTGTGTAGGAGCATACTGTCATAGTACTGTTCCTTTTGTGTAGGAGCATACTGTCATAGTACTGTCCCTTTTGTGTAGGAGCATACTGTCATAGTACTGTCCCTTTTGTGTAGGAGCATACTGTCCCTTTTGTGTAGGAGCATACTGTCACTTTTGTGTAGGAGCATACTGTCATAGTACTGTCCCTTTTGTGTAGGAGCATACTGTCCCTTTTGTGTAGGAGCATACTGTCATAGTACTGTCACTCATGTGTTGTAGGAGCATACTGTCACTCGTGTGTTGTAGGAGCATACTGTCATAGTAATGTCACTCATGTGCTGTAGGAGCATACTGTCATAGTACTGTCACTCATGTGCTGTAGGAGCATACTGTCATAGTACTGTCACTCATGTGCTGTAGGAGCATACTGTCATAGTAATGTCACTCATGTGCTGTAGGAGCATACTGTCATAGTAATGTCACTCATGTGTTGTAGGAGCATACTGTGTGTTGTAGGAGCATAATGTCACTCATGTGTGTGTAGGAGCATACATAGTACTGTCACTCATACTGTCACTCATGTGTTGTAGGAGCATAATGTCATAGTACTGTCACTCATGTGTTGTAGGAGCATACTGTACTCATGTGTTGTAGGAGCATAATGTCATAGTACTGTCACTCATGTGTTGTAGGAGCATAATGTCATAGTACTGTCACTCATGTGTTGTAGGAGCATGTAGGAGCATAATGTCATAGTACTGTCACTCATGTGTTGTAGGAGCATAATGTCATAGTACTGTCACTCATGTGTTGTAGGAGCATAATGTCATAGTACTGTCACTCATGTGTTGTAGGAGCATAATGTCATAGTACTGTCACTCATGTGTTGTAGGAGCATAATGTCATAGTACTGTCACTCATGTGTTGTAGGAGCATACTGTCACTCATGTGTTGTAGGAGCATAATGTCATAGTACTGTCACTCATGTGTTGTAGGAGCATAATGTCATAGTACTGTCACTCATGTGTTGTAGGAGCATAATGTCATAGTACTGTCACTCATGTGTTGTAGGAGCATAATGTCATAGTACTGTCACTCATGTGTTGTAGGAGCATAATGTCATAGTACTGTCACTCATATGTTGTAGGAGCATACTGTCATAGTACTGTCACTTATGTGTATCAGACACACATTATTATGGCACTTTCACACATGTCTTACATAAGCATACTGTTATGGTACTATCACTTGTGAGTTCGAGATCATAATATTATCATGCTCTCATTCATGTGTTGTGGGGATTCAACCACTGCTTTGGCCTGTGGCTAATGTCAGTTGATACATAAATCTACATTAACACGACACAACACTTCACATAACTTAATGGTCAAAGGAAAATTATGTCGTAAGTTTCTACTTAGTAGCCTATGGTCCATCAGTGATGAGCACTTCGTTTTCTATAGAATATAGATAACAGTAAATTGTAACATTTAATTCTGTGAAGACAACTCCTCACTGTAAAGAAACACAGTGGTTGGTCAGTGGGTTAGAGACTTGTAAATCTTGAATACATAAGTGGCAAAAGTATATATAGCCGAAAATACCCACGCACACCTTAACTGGGCCAGACTGGGCAGCGCGGTGCTTCTCAGCCACACGCAAGGGTTTGATGAGTGGGCGCCCCCTTCCTCTGCCCCTGCTGCTGCGACAGGCCCTGCACAGGAGACTGAGGTGAGCAGAGCATCAGCAATGGTAGCAGGTGGCAGGGTGAGGGAGGCGGCGCCCGGTACAACAATGGTAACCTCACCCGACCCACAGCTACTCTGAACCTTCTTCCGTGTGGTCGGGACACTTCACTTCCCTTCATTCTAGTTTAGTAGTCACAGGTAATGATATATGTAGACTCTAATCTGCAGTTTTCAATCACCTCCCAGGATGTGATAAACTTCAACTGCAGGGCCTTAGTTGCTTCCGTGCCATTTTTTGCCAATGCCGATGCACGCTTTGTGACCGACGTGGTTACCAAGCTGCGATACGAGGTGTACCAACCAGGTAGAGTAGTGGCTGGGTGCCACGCTGAAGGCAGCGAGTGGTAGCAACACGTAGAAAAAATGGCACAGAGCCGTGGGCCACAGACGCTTGCAGATCATGACCCTTATATGTTGACTCATTCTTTGAGAATCATCAATATGATCACTGTCAGTTACAGTAATTTAAGTCATGCTTCGGTCTCCGTAGGCTTGCGGCTCACACAGCAGCGAACTAGCTGCAGTGGTGGCCGCTCGTGTGTATCTGAGTCTGTGTATTTCCTCTCCTTTGTGGCACTATCTGGAAGCGGCTAGCTCCTCAACTTCAGGATAACCAAGGACACCAGAGTGTGTAGATAGAGCAGAAGACATCCCAGTTTTTATTTCACCACAATAGTATTGGCCTAACACCCTCACAACAGTAAATATATGTATACTGTATATATAGAATTTAATCTTAAAAAAAATCCTTTGTCTATACTGTATATGTAAATATATTAATTTTCCATACATCTAGAATCAAAATTATCTTCTAGCGTGTCTCTCAGCAAGAAAAAAAATCTTGACCTGTAAAACTGATATGATTTACCTTACCTTACCAAAACAGTATTTTGAAATTCATCATATCTGTAAAGATGGTGTCACTTGCAAATAATGTGAGTGAGCACTCCAGCTGAGACACACTGCTCAACCTCTGCTAGAGGGAAGTTTATCAGCAACCTCTATCTGGGTGGTAGTTCCTTATGTCTGTAGCATTGGCATTGGTCATTCCTCTGCCTGGTGTCTTTCACTTCCTCAACCTGCTGTAAATCTTCTTAAACTCTTCATTTATCCTTGTCAATGCCTTATCTCCCAGCATGACTTTTCTGCATGTTGTGCTGTTCCTATTTTAAGATGAGCTTTGTTAGAATCTACAACAGTTTCTGAAATTTAAAGATATCTTCAATTCATGTATCTAATCTAAGACGGGCACCGCCCTTAAAATCACTCTAGCATGAACTTCAGTTTTCTTTTGTTTACTTCTATTTGAGTCATGCAATTTCTTATTCAAAGCCCCCAAATTCTCTCTCACCTGTTATTGCTACATGCACAGAGGGGGACATGAAAGTCATGTGGTTCTCAACCCAAAGTCCTAAAGCATTCTAAAGCATCCCTTTAGCATGACTCTGAAGAATGATCAGATCGATCAATGCACTGCTTATGTAGGGAAGTTCATGTGTCTTGCTTTTGTCGTCATTAGGCACAACAGTTGACGACACCTGACACTTTTTTCATTGCTCAGGTGACATTATCATCAAGGAAGGTACCATTGGGAACAAGATGTACTTCATTCAGGAAGGTATTGTCGATATTGTCATGTCCAATGGAGATGTGGCAACATCTCTCAGTGATGGTTCCTACTTTGGCGAGATCTGTCTGCTCACGAATGCCAGACGAACAGCCTCAGTGCGAGCCGAGACTTACTGCAACCTCTTCAGCCTTAGCGTGGAGCATTTCAACACTGTTTTGGATTCCTATCCCCTCATGCGACGAACTATGGAGAGTGTGGCAGCTGAAAGGTGAGATTTTGTTGATCATATTCACTATGATAGCTAAAGTGGAACGAGTTAGTAGGAACAATTTGCTTTGCAGCTTGGATTTATTCTCAATCATGGTTTTTATAAATGAATGAATGAGTTCAAGCTCCCTCTGGCACTGCACCATTGGGTTAGTGATGCTTAATAAAAATAAATTGGGTAATATTTAGTTGAACATTGACATGATGTGTGTGAATATGATGCAAGAATTAAAATGTTGGCAAGATGAATGGGTTAAATTATATCATGTCTGTCCATAAGGTTATAGGGATATAATGACAGAGCAAAATTAGTGATTATAAGTAGAGATGTGAAATTCCATTCAATATATTCATAATTTAATAGTATTTAGCAGCAAATGCTCTCTCCCCCTTTGTGGTGGCTCGAGGGGTATACACTGCTCTACTAATATTTACATACTAAAACATTTTTATGCTAATAACAGTCTTGTATAAGAGTTAATGTGGAAGCCTGAATAAGACAATAGGAGTATCAAGTGGGTGTAGGTTCATATGGTTATATTGATTAATATTACAGTAATGTACACTGCTTACAGTTGTGAGACTTAGAAAACTGTAATATTCCTAAGAATTGTGAAACAAGTTTCAAGATAAAAAGAATTTTCATGTTTAAATTTATTGGAAATGCAAAGCAGAATTTAATAAGTTATATTATATATTAATTTGAATGCAATAAGCACTTACAAATTGTTTTGACAGGTTAAACAAGATTGGCAAGAATCCATCAATTGTCAGTAATCGGGAGGACTTGACTAATGACTGCAAGACAGTGAACGCTATCGTCACTGCCTTAGCTTCTGTGGCATCAACCGAGCAGTGTGACGGAGGCACCAGTTCAGAGGAGTCCATGATGGGTCAGGATGGTCGTCACAACCTCCTTGATCTAGGTTCCATAGGAAAAGCTCTCGCTAAAGGTCACCTGCCAAGACCGAAAAGTGAGAATAACTTTGCCCTTTCACTCGACATGCCCTCTCCCCTACACCGCAACCGACCCTCATTCCACAAGTCCGATACTTTCCACAAAGACACTTCGTTTCAATAGCAGGTGGCCCCCGCCCATGCACTTATGCTAGTGGGCGCAACGGCAGACCTTTTTTGTACTATCATGAAACACGGAGAGAGATCCAGCGACATGCACCAACATGGGGAGAGACAGAGTGACCTGCACCAACATGGGTCAAGACAGAGTGACCTGCACCAACATGGGTCAAGACAGAGTGACCTGCACCAACATGGGTCAAGACAGAGTGACTTGCATCAACATGGGTCAAAACAGAGTGACCTACATCAACATGGGTCAAGACAGAGTGACCTACATCAACATGGGTCAAGACAGAGTGACCTACACCAAAATGAGTCGCGATCAAGTGACCTGCACCAACATGGGTCAAGACAGAGTGATCTGCACCAACATGGCTCGAAACCGAATGACCTGCACCATCATGGGTCGAAACAGAGTGACCTGCACCAACATGGGTCGAGATCGAGTGACCTGCACCATCATGGGTCGAAACCAAGTGACCTGCACCAACATGGGTCGAAACAGAGTGACCTGCACCAACATGGGTCGAGACCGAGTGACCTGCACCATCATGGGTCGAAACCAAGTGACCTACACCAACATGGGTCGAGACCGAGTGACCTGCACCGACATGGGTCGAGACCGAGTGACTTGCACCGACATGGGTCGAAACCGAGTGACCTGCACCAACATGGGTCGAGACAGAGTGACCTGCACCAACATGGGTCGAAACCAAGTGACCTTCACCAGCATGGGTCGAGACCGAGTGACCTGCACCAACATGGGTCAAAACCGAGTGACCTGCACCAACATGGAGAGGAATTACGTGACCTGCACCAACATGGATCAAGATCGAGTGACCTGCACCAACATGGGTCGAGACCGAGTGACCTGCACCAACGTGGGTCAAAACCGAGTGACCTGCACCAACATGGAGAGAGGTTACGTGACCTGCACCAACATGGGTCGAGACCGAGTGACCTGCACCAACATGGGTCGAGACCGAGTGACCTGCACCAACAAGGAGAGGGGTTACGTGACCTGCACCGACAAGGAGAGGGGTTACGTGACCTGCACCGACAAGGAGAGGGGTTACGTGACCTGCACCAACAAGGAGAGGGGTTACGTGACCTGCACCAACAAGGAGAGGGGTTACGTGACCTGCACCGACAAGGAGAGGGGTTACGTGACCAACAACACCGACAAGGAGAGGGGTTACGTGACCTGCACCGACAAGGAGAGGGGTTACGTGACCTGCACCGACAAGGAGAGGGGTTACGTGACCAACAACAAATAAACCAAACAAACTTGCAGGCACACAGTGAACAGTCTTTGTGATTTGTAATTATAGTGAATACTGTAGTTAAGACATTGATAGTACATATATTTATTAGGTGCTCAAAATAATGAGAACCTCTGCTGATGAGTAGTTTGTTGGTATTGCCTCTCGGTGCATAACGAGGACTCGCACGGGGATTAAAGGTCAACAATCACGACAAGCTTCTGCCACACCTGAAGTAACAATAAAAAGGTACTATTGTTGTCTTGTTATTGCTTCAAATGATTATCTATTGTTATGAGAAGGTGCCAAAGTCCAAGGAGATCTGGCATTTTGAGTGGCAGTCAAGTCTGTGTTCCTGACAAACATTACAAAAATATAAAACGAGAAGAAAAGCAATAATATAATCAAAGCAAATTATTGTTAGAGTGAAGTCGAGGCATGACATGGGTACAACATATCTACAGTGGGTGATGTGTGTGTTATTACTATGTTAATGTTTTGTAAAGTTTTACATTATAACAAAAATTTGAAAGTGTTTGAATGGCTTTGGAAATAACAGCCAAAGTGTATATTTGTTGTAAACTGAAGTTTTTATATGAAAGTGTGTTATCAAATCTAGTCATAAGGTCCCTGCACTTAGCTGTGTGGTGCCCATGTATGCTGTATGGAACTCGTATACAAAATATCGAGCTCTGTAATGAGCTCATTTATGCTGTACATGGCTAAAAAAACAATAATGAGGTCAGTTATGCTTTACAAAGCTCATAAACCTATAATGAGCTCAATCATGCTATATAGAGGTAATGTAAGCTATATAACGCTCATGTATGCATTATAGAGCTCATGTAGGCAGCATAAGACCCCATGTATACTTTATGAAACTCTTATATACAGTATAATGCTCTTAAATCCTATCCTGGGCTCTTTTATGGTGTATAGACCTAATGTTTTCTGTAAAAAAAGGATTTGTATGCCATAAAGAGCTCAGTGTTTAATGCAAATGAATATATATGCCTTGATAAATATGGAGAATCGGGACAGTCAGGAACAGTAGACGACTGGACGCTGGCGTAAGCTGCTTCTTGTGATGGGGGCCAACCACCCCTTCTGTGATTGACGCAACAATTCACCTCACCATCTTACTGCTAACACCACTGATATTCCTTTGGACACTTGTACAACACTCATACTCTACACACACACAACAAAATAAAAGCAACTACCAATATTCCTAATCCCACAATATATAATAAAGTTGAAATATAGTTTTTAATGTTACAGAGATATTTTCAAAATCTCTTTGTTTTCCTACCACTTATTCTTTGTATTTCTAATGCCTATTGTACATACAAAAAAGTTTTCTACTGTGTACATAAATGCATAATGGTAAAGAACTCTTGCATCAGGGATTGTTAGCAAATATTGGTAAATAACATTTCTTCTGTAAAGTTGTACACCCTAGTTGTTCAGTGGTGCGGGCAATCTCATCCTTCATTGTACCAGACACATCTTCACTGATTCATACCCATCATCTCATAGTCATGCCAAGTCAGAGTTTATTTTCGCTCGTCAGTGAGGATAGTAAAAATATGCAATAATTAATGTCCACATCTAGAACCATAAGCTCAACTAGGGGCCCTAGGACAGTAGTGCTGATTTTGACATTGCTTTCTAGCTTTAGACCAAAGCTCACATCTTACAGTCACACCAGGAAGAAAGCAAGCAAGCAAGCACTCAAGTCATGCAAAAACCATAGACTCGTTGTGAAAGTGCTTCTTGTAGGTTAACTCGTTGAAGTTATGTTTTCCGTGTGAGTGTTATAGAGACTAGCCAGTGCAACACCACCATCTTTTTCTTTCTGCAGAAGCCCAAACCTTCAACAAGTAGGACCAAGAAAGCAATGTGAAAATATTTTTTGTTTTTGTCTCACTTGCCAGTGTAGTGACTCACGTAGTCGAAGTGCCTCAAGTACTGCTGCTGTAGAGTTTAATCATCTGCAAAAACTGAGCATCCTCTCCTCAGCCTCTTATAAGTCATGCTACTGGCAGATTGGTTTAGAGTTTCCATGGCAACCATCTAATGGATCCCACATTTCTCTTGGTAACCTTTGTTCTCAACACTTTATTTGAAATGTTTCCTTTGGTTGTTGCACACACATTGGGCAGGTACAAGTCTTCGGCCATTTCATGGTTCGTCATGGATATTCTGCCTAAATAGATATTGCACATTGTTTTAGGTGAAAATTACAAAATATTTAAATTTATAAATTTGTTAAATACATGCTCCTTTACTTTGTTAGATAAGCATGTAATGGATACTTATTTTAAAATGTTAGATATTTCACACACAAGTGTTGGTTAAAGTTTAGATCATGCTAAGCTATCCTTCCATTTTGTTATGATATTAATGTAACTATTGACAGGTATTGCTCCAGCTCCCCAAAAGCAGTAATAAGCTTACTACAAACATAATAGACTTGCATAATGTACAACTGCATAAGAATACTATTATAGGGTCGTATTTGCAGATTTTTTGATTTTCAAGATTTTGTTATATATTCTTTTGTCCGCATCTGTTCTAGGCAGCACTAAGTTAAGGACAAGATAATTAACATGACCAAGTTTTTACTACACGACAATGTACTGTATACGTTTATGGTCTAAGTTTATGCTTTCGAAAAATTGGAACAAAACATTAAATTGCAAACTATGTACCACTTCCCCTCCCCCCATTCATATCAGTTTTAATTAAGAGTTGTATTCTTAAATGTAAAGCACTTTAAGGCCCCTTATTTTCAAAGAATTACATGTTTCCACAAGCCAGACACTTTCTTACTTGAGAAGACCTCGGGCCAGATTCACAGAAACACTTACGCAAGCACTTACGAACCTGTACATCTTTTTTCAATCTTTGGCGGCTTTGTTTACAATTATTAAACAGTTAATGAGCTCGGAAGCACCAGGAGGCTGTTTATAACAATAACAACAGTTGATTGGCAAGTTTTCATGCTTGTAAACTGTTTAATAAATGTAACCAAAGCCGTCAAAGATTGAGGAAAGATGGACACGTTCGTAAGTACTTGCGTAACTGCTTCGTGAATCTGGCCCCTCCTCGTCTTTACCGGTGTTACGAGTCATGCAGTTGTTTCTCCTGTCTTTTGTCCATGACGTTTGCTTGGTAAGAAATTCACCGAGTCAAACCTCACTATTTTTTTAATAACTTGTATCAGAAGCCAGTGGGAAATGATGTACATAATAGTGATAAATTTAGTTTGGGAATCGCTCTTGTAAAACTGAATAAACAATAGTGTTATATTTCTTCAGCCAAACACTTTGCCTTCATTGTTGTAAATTACTGGGAGTTGATAAAGGGCCTAATCCCAAATACTGTCGGTTTGATGGATAATTATTTCAATTTTACATCCTCTGATAATTGAACAAGGTACTTATGTCTTTTCTATGATTATATATTTTATTTTTAATGCTACCTTATGTGCTAGCATATTGCTAGCTTATGTAAATAATTTAAATTATGCAGAGGTTATTAGTTGCTACTGGTTTTACTTCTACCTACATAGCTTCCTTATTTTGTATAGTTAAGATTCATAACCTAAAAGGTTGCAGTAAATTTATGAGTCTTGAATGCAAAGAGTGAAAGTGAAAATATATTTTCACAGAAAGCACCAAGTCTGGAAAATTGCGTGCATAGCACTGTCAGCGTTACATAATAATATTCTCAAGTTTCTATAATCCAGGATGCCAATATGATA